ACTGAAGAGGGATAGGTAAGAGTACCAGAACAAAGGAAAGTACCACAACTGAACAGCAGACAATTAGTAAATGCATGGACTCCATTTGTCTATTTGACGAGTTGTAGATTTTTCTAAAATTGGCATATCTTATTGGCGTTGGCGACTCCGATGTCGGCGAAACGTCTTAGAAATTACCAAATATATGGTGAGATGCTGAAATTTATCATAGAAACAATGGCAAAAGACTCCACACAAGGTGTGTACATTTAGGTCTCTGACAATACAACTAAATTGCGAAAACAAGATCAAAACACTTTTACACTACTAGTGTTTATAATAAGTAGGTGTTGAGCCATCATGATGTCCATGGTGAGAAGGTTTACATATCAGCCCTTTATCACCTTGCAAGACCTAGAGTAATTACAATTGTAACTGAAGATAAACTCTAAGATGAATTATATATGTAGCCTTGTTTTTTGAAATGCATTCACAGGATTTCTTTGTGTTTTCATTTGATAGCTACACTACTCTAAGAACATTTAAACAGTCAGTGAAATGAAGGAATAACGATTAGGATAGAAATTAAAGTTATTCACTATGTAGGTAAAGCTAAAGTAAATCACTCTATCCATAGAAAGAAACTACTAGGTGACGCTAAATTAATTTTATAACAGACCTTAAGCCACTTGCAAGCAATCAAAACAAATTTGAACCAAGATAAAGGGTGTACCTGAGCATATGATACTACAAGTCAATATCAAAAATTAGAAAATTAATAGTCCATTTAATTAGAATAGTAATAGATTAAAATTAAAATCAAAATTTAACCAACTATTTTAATGAATAAATACCAACATTTTCTAATGCCCGCTAATTTTAGGGCTCCATCAGTAAGTCCGGATACAGAACTTTGTCTAGCTTGCAGACAGGATCTGGCTTCGTCGTATGTCATATAGTCAGACAATCCGAGATCTCCAAGTGTTTGTTTCCCTCTACCATCTGACATATCATGGTCAGATTGATTGGCTCCTATCACACCATCCATAAGAGAATTCGAACAGTTGGTTGTGGAAGGCATAAATTTAGTAGAAATTGGAACGGCAATCTGACCATCGTTCTGCTGTCGAGCTGGGTCAAAATACAAATTGGTGTCGTCCTTTCGAATAGAGAGAGCAGCTGCGCTTGTTTGTGGGCTATAGAATTCATTCAGTGGAGGAGAGGCTTCGTCCGAGGTCATTGAATCAAATGCGGTACAAGCGCTAGCATTTGGTTCTAATCCGCTGCTAGATCGTCGCTCTGGGTCAATTACACTGTTAGTGGAAGTGCCTGTGACAGCAAATGAAGCGGCAATGACAGATGTTGCAGGTGGATGGCAGTCAGTACTCAACTTGTAAGATATACCAGTCGCAATTGGTGGGGAGAGGGAAGAAAAGGAGGAAAATACATCGATGCCATCCTCGAATGTTTTTTGTCCTACCGATACCTTAGGTCGGCTATGAGCTCCAGGCATGCATGGAACATGTTTGTCAGTCATTTGAGCCTCTTCTGGAAGCCTTTTACAGGAATCCTCTTTATTTTGTCTAGCTGCTTCAATATTTTCTGTAGAATTATCATCTTTTTGCATATCCGAGATCTTTTGGCATTCAAATTCTCGATTTATTTTACTAAATTTATTCTCATTCTCATTTTTATCGCCATCAGTATCCTCATCCTGCATCTCACCGAAGGCAGAAGAAGAGCTGACCGCTGAGCCTGTTGACCCAGGCCGGCAAGTATCGAGTGGCCGTGGCCCCAGATTTGTTAGGCCACGTACTAAAACGTTGGAAGGATCTGTGCGAACATGGGGACCTGGAGTGAGATCGCAGCCAAAAACCATCTCATCTTCTGTGGCATAAAAATATAAATATGCACATATAAGAAAAGATATAATAAAAATATTTAAGTATCCATTTAGTTAGATAGAAAAACAAACAGAAAGGCAGATCTATGGGTAGACGGATGAACGGCTGAACAAGTTGACGGTTAGATTCGTAAAAGATAGGCGGGTAGGTAGATGGACAGGTTTAAAAATACAAAAATACATTTGACCATAAAGTGAATTATATATATATATATATGGAAAAATTTATAATTTACAAATTTTTTGAATAAATTACTATGAGTTCAAACGTTTGTTGCTCATATTGATTGGAAGTAAACAAGATAAAAAATTTAGCAAAGTAGAAATACTTGAAACTTGAATACCATACTGGCATACCTTTCATTTGATTTGAAAATGTGGATGGAAGGTATTCGTAAATTGGCTGCACCGAATACTGAAGTAGGGTTGCCTTTGACTTTTGACTATTGGAATTTGAGAAGATCTTAGCTCATTGTACTGCGGCCCCGATGACTCTGTGCTGAACTTTCTTCAGCCAGGTGAGGGACATTTTTAGAACAAGAAGCCATTATTCATGGACAATCACCAAAAGAACACTAAACCAAGAAAGATGGCCAGCTGATACTCTAATTAATTCTTTGCGATCATAATAAGGCATTCCATCATTTGGTTGGTTGCTTTATGCTTGTCCTACATTCATGTATGCGAGTGAAGTTGATGCAGGAAGGGGAGCGGATGTGGTTACAACTTTTATGTATGTAAATAAGCTGGCGTATGATACTGTAATCCTGAGGCATGGTTTAGCTTCGTGTGTGTGTGAAATACTCACGATTACTCAATTACTGTATGAAATTGAGTTTATCAGCAATTTTTGGTCCCGAACCAGACCTCAGGTCGTCTCCTATTAGTCGGTAGCTCTACCTACTCTCTCTCGATATATATATATATATATATAATGGTTTCTGGCTTTGAAGATGTCCGTCACATGATGAATGAAAGCTCAGCACGGAGTCTTCGGGGTCGCAGGATGTTGAGCTTAGGTCTTCTCGTACAATCCAATAGTCACAAATCCAAAGCAACCCTCCTTTGGTGTCCAGTGAGGCCAATTTATAATCCCTTCCAACAGCCTTTTCAAAAGAAATGAAAGGTATCAATTTGCTAAGAGACTCTTTGAAACCCAGTCTCTTTTCATATCTCAAATACCATATAATAAATAGGATATTATATAAATTAAATAGGATACCTAAGAAGAAACGATAGTGTATCATGTTATTAAAGCTCAAGGAAAAAATAAAATGAGTATGCTGACTTACCATGAATTCCAATCTCATCAATCAGCTCTATGTCATCTGTAAACAAAGCATCTTTATGGCTATTCAAAGGCTCACAAGTTGCCTTGATTGGAGCAGGCTCCAGATAAGTGTCTACACCTTGTGTAGGTGAATCAATAATTGTTTTAGAAAATATAAAATAGAAGAAAAATAAACGCGAGTCGATTGCAAATCATTTATTTGGTAATATTTTTAAGAGATTTGACTAGGCCTACTTGCTGCAACTTCAATGTTTGAAAAGATAAATAACTAAGCGTTAAGGTTTTCGGTATTATGTTCATGTTTTTTTGGACAGAACCTTTGAGTATGTGTAGACTCTAAGACATTAAGCTAGCATCATGACACTTTAAACCAGTTTTATGAATTGCACCAAAATGAATATGATTTGGATAATATGCAGAGACGGTGGTCATAAGAAGCTGCTATAAAGCACAAATCGGCAACGCATGATGTGAAAGCGTCTCTGAAAACATTTTTAACTTGAAGCAGAACTGTGCTCACACTTTATCGTTTAGGGGATGGATTTTCCCACATTGATATGAGTAGGCCTATTTTCATAATTTGCATAAGGGCTTTCAAACACGAAGTTGCACATTACCTTACACCATTAGGCTTCGTACAGCTATATATACATGATTTATATAAATGGAAAAACTCTGGATGTCAGCAAAGTTTAGTCAGCCAACGATCAAAAAATGACTACATTGTTAGATACGAAGAGTAACTGGCTTTCTATCAATCTCCTGAGAGAACATCGTTAGGGAGACTTTCATTTTGTCTGAAAGTACATGAAGAAGAAATTTTCAGGTTGATCTTACAATAAGACAACGGCTGATTCGTGTTGTACTCCACCCGTTTGGATTCGAAATGACGTTCAGGTTGGCGCGACCCACAGGACATCCTTCCTTGTTTTGGGTAAAGACGGATGATGGACAGAATCAAAGCTGGATGTCATTCTTGTAAGAGACTCACGTCAACACTAGGACAAAAAGACTATCCGTATCTAGCCTACATATAATATATACTCACGACTAAAAAACGAAAATGAATGGGCATGGATAGTTACGGAGTGGTTTGGCTAATTATCTGTCATATTGGTTCTGCAACTTTTGCTCTAGTGTGTATATGTATGTGTTAACGTCTGTTCGCAACGCTGAGTCGAGCCAAACGTCGTTTTAAAGCCAAACTGCTGCAGTACGATAATCAGTCGGTGTCTTCTGGTGAGAAGACACCAGAGATCTACTAATCTCTTCTTGATACACTTTTATACAAAATGAAAGTCTCCCCAACATACATTGTTAGAGGCACTAAATTAACCATATTTTGCAGCGCCCGAATCAAAAGTAACGCCATCTAAATGACGTGTAAAATTGAATATGAGTCCGAATAAACAGAGGGGTTAAATTAATCAAAGGCATCAAGCTCAGATTTGAAGAAAAAAGAGGGGCTGTTAAAAATTTAGATTATTTTTTATTATAATTTTTTGCTTTATTTATCTAAAAATTGGTTCTTATGTAAGGTCTACTCGAGTTCCATCCTCGCTTTGACAAAATCGCCATTCCCAAATTTAGTTGAAGAGAGTATGAGTAAAATGAGCCAACTAACTCTACTATCCAGATCCTATCCAGTGTGATTAATGTAATCACGAGAAGCAACAAGCGCACTTCAAACTTGTGCTACTTCTCAAAATTCACTTAGTTAGAGCCTCGCAACATTATTTTTATCATGACAAAGTCAGTTGGACCCTAGCTTAGGAAGACACTCAGCGTTAAAACCCATGAAAAGTCTTCTTACGACTAAGCCGTTAAGCTCACGTATACAAGACTTTATTTGCTAGACAGCAACATAGGAACTTTGACCTACAGGGCGTATAATCAAAGCCATGTCTTCGTTTCGAATATTTATGCACCGTCTTATTGTAATGCAACTTTCGCATAGCCAGGAAGAAACGGTAGCTTGGTTTCTTCAACCCCTATCTATAAGGTCTCCCCACACAAACTCTTTGGATACGAGCTGCAATTACAATATTAGATTAGACTAGGATGACAAGGCACTTGAAGCGAGCCACCATCCAACTAACTTAGTCTATATACGGGTTCCTTCGGTAGATAAGGCCAAGTTGAACTAATGTGCCTAAAGTAAATAAAATTAATTTGGTTTAAAGAAGTAAAAAGGATATGAACTTGAATAAGAATGTGATTCCTCAAAAAATGATGAGGATAGAGACAAGTGGTTTTGAGAATAATGTGCTTGCATCTGAAGCTTACCCTTCCTCTTTTAAAATCCCCTTAAGCTCAAAATTGCAGTCTATTACAGATGAATTCTACTTGTAAAATCCATAAGATGGAATTCTATTGAAAAAAAATAAGTACAGACTACTTCATGCAAAGCCATAAAATCAAAACACAAAACGCTAAGTGAAAAATAGTATTGTATAATTCATTAGGGGTACTTGATTCATAGCTTTGCTTAAAAAAGGCCGAAAAATTCGACACACGTCCCTGTCATATTTTTGCGAGCGGGCTCTTAAGCCTATTAAAAAGAAGTATTCTAGAAAAGTTATAAGAGGTTATGATCATTAAGACCAGAAATATAATTTTTTATTAAATAACTGATCAGTGTCTTAGTGTATAAAAATTATTCCTATAAGATTAAGGGAGTTCCTATTGCCAAACGTAAATAGAGAATAATGTGCAGCTATCTATTATATAATACACAAAAAAGGCAAAAAAAAGAATTAGAGAACTTTTAGTAAGTTACAATGTTGAATTCAAAACAAGTTTCTCAATCTAAATTCATGTAAGGTAAGCATCCTTTCAAATGGTAAATAATCATTGGTTGACTAACTTGGTTGTACGGATTCGCTGGTAGAACATCCAGTTCCAGTCTTTCCACGATAAAATTTTGCCATAGGATGGATTTCGTTAGCAAGCTAGACCAGAAAGATGAAATTTGTGTGTGAATAATAAATGAAAATTGAAATAAGTAAGCTATTAAAGTCGCCATAGATTATCTACGCCAAATTGCAGAGAAAAGTCATTTTAACATATATCAATAAATTACAATAAATTATGATAATTTCGATGTGTTAGTATAGTGCTGTTCAAAGTAATATGTGACAATAATTTAAGGAAAGAAATCCCAAACATTCATTGCATAAAAAAACTCAGAGGTCAAGAAAAAATAAGAATTCTTGTGTAAGTACACTTGTGAATATACAATCTGCTGATATTCTCACGTATGGGCAAAAGTAATGAATACAATTGTCATGAGAGTATGGTCTCTATTTTGATGACAGCCTCCTTTCGCTGTATACGAGTATTTTTATCTCCTTTTTTAAGTGGTGATATTGTCAGGGCTACCTATATAAACCCATCTTATCCGGAAACCCCGACTATAATAGCCATGAAGACTTTTAGGACAGAATAGAGAGTAATTTGATGAAGAAATAAAAGGATTGCAAAAGATAGATTTTCGAGGAACAATCGGAAATCAAGACTAGGCTTCTAAAGGGGGTTAATCAAACCAAATAGAGGGTTACAATATTTGGCGATTTGGCACACAAAATTAAAGAATATGATAAACAGAACCTTCACATAATAAAATACTCTACGACTTTAAATTCGCAGCATTATAGGCGGATATTTTTTCTCTATACAGGTAGAT